TCTTTTTTGATATAAATTTGAGTAAATGAATGTGTTCTAGCTATATAAAAATTTACACCAAGCTAAAGTATATAAAATTGCTATAAAATATAGCGGGATGACGATTAAAGCAGTTTTTAACAATATGTCATATAAAGGTGTGAAAAAAGTGAACCAGAACTCCCTTTTTCGCCCTACTGTATCACCTGCCAGTTATCTTGGGTCTATATTATTTCCCTGATATTTTTTTCCCCAACATTCATTTTCCTAACAATATTTCCCTGACAATCCTTTCCCCGACACATTCATTTCCCAACATTCATTTTCCCGATACTTACTTTTCCCAGACATTCATTTCCTCAACACTTTTATTTCCCCAACATCTTTATTTCCCTGACAACCACTTCCCTGATACAATCTTCCCCGACACAATTATTTACCCAACACAATCACTTACCCAACACTTTTGTTTCCCTGATATTCACTTCCCCAATAAAATTACCTTTCTGGCAAAATATATGTTTATTATTGTAAACCCAGTAATAGAATTTTTATAGTAATTATTATAAAACTAATACAATAATTAGTTTTTTTTATAGCAAATCAAATCAAGATAAATCCAATATTAATGAATATAACCCTATCTAATCACTTATGCTGCCATAGTGTACATTACCTGAATTTTTTACAGTAAATCACTACACAAAGCATGATATATCTAATATAAACCCATTCTATTGCTTATTAGCAGTGTACAAATTCTTCCCGGTTTCAGAATTCTTTGCCAACATTTCACAAAATATTTTGTAAGTGCAGCTAGCAAATTTTTTAAGCAAATTAACATAAAAATTATAAAAATTCAATATGAAACTAACCTAATACTATGCTTCCTAGTTTCAGAATTTTTCGCTAGCATGTTATCACAATAGTTTAATAAGTAAATTTTTTAAGAAAAGCATTGATAAATCCAATAGACTAAATTAACTTTAAATCACTTATCAATACTAGAGGTAGTAGTTGAATCCGGATATATCAATATATCCAGATATAAATATATCTGAATATATCTGGATATATATATATATATGCCATACCACAGATTTGAATCATCCTGATTCAGAATTAGGATGCCCCAAATAAGAATTTTACAAATTATTTTGGCAGAATTAAAACTTTAGAGTTAGCATTAGGGTTTAGAATAAAAATTTTTAGTTTTTTTAGTTAGTATAATATTGGCCAAAATTCCAAAATTCTTATCTGAAACTGTCCTGATTCTGAATTGGGACAATTCCAATCCGGGTACTGATATATTTATATCTCAGATATATTCAGATATATTTATGTTCAGATTTTAAATAGATTAATCTGGATTTATTATTTGATAATATTTATATCCAGATTCTAACTAACCAACACTTCCTGATTTTGTGATAATTCAATACAAAGCTAACATAGCCCGATCTAAATCACATATGTATTATAGCGTGTAAGTGCAATAAGCAAATTTGTTACAAATTGCAAATAACAAAATTACAAAGAAACTAATGACGAAGAACTAGAATAAGTTACTAACCACGAAAGAAAACCAAAATGAATGGCACCAGAAGTAAGTGAAGGGTGATCAAGTGAAGGACAATTTAAAAGCGACACCTAAATGAACGACAATAGCAATAACAATGCCAGCAACAATTGAATAGATAAATGGAAAAAGATATGATAACAATAATAAATAGAAGTGATCAGAGATAATAAGAAATTATACCAGGAATGAGTACAAAGTACGCAAGTGAAAGGGTGTATCTGAATCTGTGAATCTGATTAGATTGCTTTTCATATGATCTTGACACCACAATACGTACGTACGTACATATGTATGTATTACAGTATTATGTATTATATTTTTTATTGCTTTAACATCTCAATTAAAGTGAATAATGATCTATGCTTTTTATTATTATTATTGTACTTCGGAATTGAACTAACTTACAAGATAGTCTTCAGAAGCCGGTTTTAGCTGCACAATGGAGTCAAGTTGACCAAAGCTATAGTGTTGCAGCTAACTATGACTTGACCATGGCTTAATAGAGTGTTCAATAAACTAAACATAGTTAGGGTCATATATGATATTCATTAATTTCGGGTTTTTTAAAGGGTTATTTCATGTATAAATTTGTACTAATTTAGGTACATTTTTCTACACAACCAACAAACAAAATTGTATAAGTTTTTTTTTTAAAGCTGTAGTTCTAGACTAGCTCTGCACTGTAAGGGCCGTGACAGATATTACATAATATCCATTTACTATGAGGGTACCCCCACATAAGACAATTCTGATTGGCTGATTTAAATGTATATATATAATATATATATGTATATAGTTTTACTAATTAATTATTATTTTGAGCCTCTAATAAACTTATATAAGATACAAATACATGCCAAAATAATGTATATTTTGGCGCTGAACAAGTTTACTTAGAGCTCAAAGTCATACTTTATTAGTAATATTTCGAGTAATACAAGATTTTCTATATTTTTATTAATAAAAATATATAATAATTATTATAAACTAAAATTTTACTAATAAAATAGGCTTTTACGTTCTAAGTAAACTTGTTCAGCACCAAAAAAATACATCATTACAGCATACGTTTCTTTACTTTTCTTGATTTGTAAAGTGAAGATGTGTAAATTTGGTAAATTTTCATCAAAAATACAATTTTACACATTTTAATTTACAGATTAAGAAATGTAAAGCAAACATATACCGTAATAATGTATTTTTGATGCTAAACAAGTTTACTTAGAACATAAAGGCACATTTTATTAGTAAAAAATTAGTTTATGATAAATTTTCTATATTTTT